ATGGTGAAGAAGTCAGCAGTGAAGAAGAGGAAGAGGCCGAAAGCGCTTAGGGCAGGTATTAGTGGTTGGAATAAGTATGTGATCTTAATCATGGAGGCAATGAAGTCATGGCTATTGCAGCAGGTCTGCAAATTATGTATATATACTCTCACGGCTGCTCTAGGTTATCAAAATTGAACAGAAGTCAGCCTGAACAAGGCTCAAAATTGGAACATTACCAACTACGTAAAAAAACTCAGCATCGTGGAAGTTCCGTCCTCTAGCTAGTCATGCACTAAAGACCGATGTCTGTCCAGGTTACATGAGGCGATAGTATTACTCCGATGCCCAGTAGTATGTTGGGTACCTCACGTTATATATTCTTTTCCAGCAGCCTTTCAATCTTTAGGACAATCTGCTGCCCCACTGTACCTTAGAAATAGGCATCCATTTTAAGTAGCAACATGGAGTTCATCCGGATGGCTATTCAAGTGAGACCTTTCCATATCCTCTGTCTGTTGAAACTCTTAGGGTCATATTCATTTCATTTTTTAGTAGCCCGTCTTAGGGCCGTCTTTCGATTGGCCTGTGAGTGCGGCATAAGGGTAGTAGTATTCATTTGATATCTCTGGCCAGGCTCCTTCGCCAGACAAAATCACTCTGCCCAAAGTTAACACTCACATTGCATGCCCCACTACTGAGACTCATTAATGGGTACAGCTTTCTTTCTAAACATGATCTCGATTTTGTTATCGGCTGGACACGTGGTCCTCAGGTTAGTCATGCAAAGTAATTTTGATAGCATCAATACTTATAGCTTGAACAGTCACTGGTCATCTTCCTCATGGCAGCTTCCATTATTGCCATGATAGCCCACCAACCAATTGCGACATCCTGCGTGTGCCTCATGTCTAGTTAACAAACTATTCACAAAACCCGACAGTGATAATTTTAGGTTCAACATCGTGGACAAGGGTTTCTGCGGACGATATTGTCACTTCAAAGTACACCTGGCCCATATCTCTTGGGAGAAATGGGCAATCTGCTCTGAGGCATAATAACATTAGCTTCTCTTCGCTGTTGTGGCCGGATTTAAATCCAACACCAAGCTTAGTTGGTGGAATATCTGCACGGCCTTGGATACTCATGCCCTGCGATATCCAATGTGATGGTATGACAAGCTAGGTCGGTGTCTTAGGTAAATCAAGCCGGACACGTCCAGGCTGAACACACATCCTGTTCGCAGCTTGATGAACAAATGATTGAGGTGCCAGCCATCTTGATCTTTGGCAGCTGAGACTTCCTCCCTCAGCTTTTGTAGCTCTTCCTAGCCTTCTTACCTATCTAGCTCAGTTGCCAGACGGAGCACCTTGGAATGCAGGCCCAATGCCTCTGAGTAAAGATATTCCACTACTTTGTCTAGGCATGTGTGAATAAAGTCTAATCTTGACACATCTCGGGATGAAATAGCGAGCTAAAAGCAAGACGCTTGACTGCGCGACCTGTCCTAAAGGGGTTGGCGCCGAGTTCGAGAGGTCTCGACCCAAGTATAGTATCTTGCTCGAGGGTGCTTTCCCAGCTTGGTATTTACCTTCTCCCTGGCAGATTCCAGCATTGATTGCCAAGTGCAACGGGGTACTGCCGACATTGTTCAAATATCTATCAACGTATGTTTCTAATACGGGCTTAGCTATATGGAGAGGAGTCCATTGCTCTGCCGTCTGGGTATCAATAATATCTGGCTTGTGCGCTACCAGGAAGCCCATTATTTCAAGATTACCCCGTGGTGCTGTGGACTACAGGGCGGCCCTCCTCGTCGACCATGTCGACGTCTGCGCCCGCTCGAAGCAGAGTGGTGACTGTTTCTACGTTACCACTGACTGTGGCACCGAACAATGACGTTTAGAATGCCATGGTTTGCATATTTACAGGTGCATTAGGCTTTAGCAAGACTGTAGCGCTTCGTCGTGGCCCTGATATGCGGCCTGGTGTAGAGGTGTGTGCCCTGATGAGTCCGCTTGGTCAACCGCGGCACCATATATGATGAGCTGTTTCACAATCTGCATATAGCCCTCGTTTGCTGGATAATGGAGAGGAAACCTTTCCTGTGTGTCTGTAGAGTCTATACCTGTATTTGATTCTAGGGAGAGTGTGACGATCACCATTGAATTGCTTTCTCCTGCGGCATGGAGCAGCTGTTCATCATCTTGACCGGCCCTTCTTCGCAGTTTTGGCGACAGACCCAGCAGAAAGCGAGTCATCTTACAGCGGAAGATCTCACAGCATATTCCAGAGCGGCATAAAACTGGTCCTCAACCTCCGAGATAACACCAAACTTGCTATACATCTATAGGAGAATTTTTGATTTTTGATTTTTGAATTTTTTTCTTTTTTGTTCTAACGCATCGAAATCGGGTGTCTTCAAGTATGAGTAAGTACCATCTTCTTCCTATTGCCTTGAGACTTGATGGTTTGTTCTGGTTTCTCAAACCCGAGTATGACGTCCAAAATGATGGATCTGGCCTTAACGCTGCTGTACTTTGCTGCTATATGCAATGGTGTGGAGCCTTCTTCGTCAATAATATCCATTTAGTCTTGCTCCGCGACGTCTTTGATAATTTCAGGACAATTCAGCACGGCACAATGCACGACAGTCTTCCCAGTAGTGTCTTTGATGCTGATATCTACACGGGACTCAAGGTAACTGCCTCACGCAATTGATATGTCCATTTGCGATGCTAGCATTAGCGGTTTTTGTCGTTTTTCATCTTGGGCGCCAATTATATGAGGAATATCTGTTCTCTTCTTCTTGGTGTAAGGTATCTCACACTTACCAAGGAGGTCAATAATCGCGGTATGCCCTCCGAGGTTGCTAGGTGTAGGGGCATTCTACGGTCCCTATCAATTTGACCTGGATCATCCAGTAGTTCCAAGAGGGCCTGAGCAATCTTCAGGCAACCTCCTAATGTAGCCCTATGTAGAGGTAGATATTAATCCCTTTTATCCCCATTTGAAGCAGGCAACTCTTTGACAGCCGTGTCTTCATCGCTTGGAGGTTACATAATCTAGACATTTTTTTAAGAAAAGCATCACATTATATTCATAGCGCGACAATCTCCTTGAGAGATATAGGGAAGTAATAAAAAGGCCATTCAACGGTGTTGAGTAATATAACTCAGACTCATGTTACAGCATACATTAACTTGGGAATGCATTGATATTTAATTGATGCTACTAGGACTGGCTATTAGTAGAGGAGAGAAGAGATAGTTCTAGAAGCAAAAAAGAGTACTCCGTCACCACCTATGAGTGCGTGCTCAGTAAGTAGTGGGTGAGTGGTTCGAAACAGTCAGTGATCACCCACGTGTTACCCTCATGGAAGCGTCGTATTTATTGGCCAACTACTAGTAGTACCTGACTTACAGAAAAACACGCAGTTCTTTACTGCAACCAATAAAACTGATTCTGTCCCTTATTTCTAATCTTCGTCATCATCATCTCTCTCTCTCTCTCCATTTTCTCTTTTTTTTCTTTTTTTTTTTTTTTTATTATCCTCTATATTCTTCTTTCCCCTCTCATGCGTATATAGGTGTACCGTAAAATCCCTCATGGCTGCCTTATATTTAGTACCAAAGTTAAATGAAGTGTCTGAACCTGAACATTTGGCCTACTCTAGGCAACAGGGTATAATAATTGCAGCAGATGGCAGAGGCTGTTTAGTATCTAGGGTTTTATGATCACTCTCGATACCACATACCAATTGCTGCCTGTCTTGAGCTGACGCCAGGAGATAAATATGTCACGTACTTCAAATGTAGTGCTACTAATGTCCCCATTAAGTTTCATTGGTGATGCAGAAATAGATTATTGTGATACTTTGGTACTAGTATCACCCTTGCGAAAGGACCAGGAGTAGGTTACGCACTTTTGCATGGCTAGAAAAAGGCATCCTCGATCGAAGTGCTGCGGCGGGGGCCATGTGCTAACCTGGAACTGGCTTTTGCCAGTTCCAACTTTGGTTTATTTTCCCGCTCGCTTAAAAGTCCGTATCTGGCATGGCAGACCAATATACGTAACATACGGAGTAGAACTTAGCGACCTAGTGGAAGGTTTTTAGGGACGCCACGTGCGGTCCATGGTTCTGTCAACCAATCAGGCCATCTAATTGGATTTAAGCTACGAAACGCTTCCATTGGTGGTTCCAACGGTTCTCTTTCTTTGTTTCAGAACTTTACCGGACATATTCCCAACGGTCAGTTGTGGCGGTGTTTGAATTCCAGTTCCTGTGAGGGCTTCAGCTTTTTGTCCCACTGGTAAAACTTCCAGTCCAGGCTCAAGGGTCAGGGTGTTGTTTCACTAATTTAGTGGCAGAAGATCAAAGAGGGCTTATCAAAATAAGTTCAGTGTGCAGACACTCTAATCTAGTGGACGGGAGTGCAACTAAGCCTGACGGCCAACGCCAAGCTTCCCCGCTATGTCCATTAAAGGTTAAAAACCTCCTGAACAAACACAGCCCCCTGGAGCCTATGGCGAGCCTTCCCTTAGTGGCGCCCCAGAGCTTAAGCAGCACTAACGCGTGGCCTAACAGTGGAGATTCCTCCCACTGGACCTACACTTTCGACATGATGTCCGCGGACCGTCCAATAAGGATATTAAGTTTTCATGAGCTGCTGGTACAACCATCCCACCCCATTCCCTCGACAATCTTTTCTTTTTAAACCTCCCTTCTTGAGCTTATTGAGCGCTTTGGCCTCCCATTTCTTACAGTGGGGAGCAAATCCAATGAAATTGGAACACCCTAATATGGTATAGCGTATCCGCTGGCAACCGCCTACTGTTATAGGCAGTTTCTGCCGGTGTAAAATCAGTATGTCACAGGTTATTGGTTCTTATTCAGGCGGTAACAGTGATGCACGGGCCACTATTGCGAGGTATTTGGTTCCAAATTTCAAATACCTACCACATACTCCGTACTCCGTACTGTACCTAAGGTTTCTTTGCCATCATGTAGTGTTATCCCTTCTCGGTCCTTTTTCTTTCTTTTCTTCTTTCAAGCGCGTTGAATATCATTCCTATCTACCAGTTTGCCTTTCTATGTCCTTCCTTTTAAGTTCATATTATTCAATTTTCTTTTTTAATATACTAACCCTCATTTCCCTTCATTGTCAATTCCTTCCGCTACCCTCCCTTTTTAAATTCAATTGGCTGTCACCAGCATCTAGGTCCTCCAGTTCTTACATGCATATTAGGCGCCAGTGAACGATCAGTACCCCTGTGTACTGCGCGACTGGATATCTCTAGTACCTGAGTAAACACTGTGTGGCAAATATCACGCATGAACTGTCGCTCATCTACTCCCTCGAAACTTCACAATGAGATGCGGCTTTAGGTTAGCATTATGCGCATGCCTACTACTCATCGTCCCACTATACCTATTAAAACTCCACCTAGAGGAGATCTGCAGCCAGTATCGCGCAGGCGCATACTTAATAGATTGGCTGAACTCCAAGATTCCCCACCATGAGGGCTTATCCCACTACCACGCAAAACTGGGAGACAAAGTGATTGTGATGGCCAGACTGGAGGAAGAACCCACCGAATGGGTCGAGCAAGAACTTCCTGAGTACATATCCCTTTTCAACATTCAACAATAGGCTCATTTGCTAATAAGGGGCCGCTTGAAGCTGGCAACGTGCGATTTACATTGTCAACCCCTCGAATAAAACCAAAGCAGACAAACACAAACTGAAAACCGCCCTCAACAAGGGCCACGAATCTATGGCCTACCTCACGTATCTGATTGACCATTATGACAACCTTCCTTCCACAATCGCTTTCCTCCACGCCCACCGCGCCGGCTTCTTCATGGCCTGGCATGTCGATGCGCCTTTGCACGATAACGTAGCAGCGATGCGCGCTCTACAGCTTGATTTCATTCAACAGAACGGTTACGTCAACCTCCGTTGCAATTGGAACCCCGGGTGCAAGGAGGAACACCGCATGAATCGCCATGTAACGCAACAGGTCTGGGAAGAAGTATTCGAAGGGACCAGCACCCCACCTCTAAACACAACCACTTCACCCGCCATCACAGACGACCCCTCGTCAGAGAACCGTCAAACTCAGAAATTCCTCCAAGCGCCCCAACTCGTCGGTGCAGCATGCTGCGCGCAGTTCGCTGTGTCACGCGAACAGGTCCTGAAACGACCCCGAGAAGACTACATCAAGTTCCGCCAATGGGTCATCGACACAGAAAAAGATGACGCCAGTAGCGGACGAGTCATGGAGTTCCTCTGGCATGTCATATTCGGCAAGGAGTCCGTATAGTAAGTACCCATTGCACCAGCCTCTCTAATAACAAAAACAACTAATATGGTTTCTCCTTTAGCTGTCCGGACGAGGAACTCTGCTACTGCCAAGTATACGGCAAATGTTAGGACATTCCCGTTCCTAAGATATATATATATATATATATATACTGTACACCAGCCACGAGCATCTTATTATGTGGGTTTTCTCGCAGATATACATCCCATGTACTCTCTTTGTTCTTTCAAGCATGCATTTCTGGGATTAGACAGGCGTTGTTAGAGGGCTTTCGTCCGTTCGGATATACCCGTCTGAATCATCTTTGTTATTTCTTCCGGTACGGTTTAGAAAGCATGTGAATATATTGAAATATATTTTCTATCTGTTTCATACTACCGCGCAACTACAACGTTGTTGGTATAGTGACTTAGTGGGGTAACAAACCTCCCACTATGATTCCGGATTTAGCTTAAATATATATAAACGAGGGCCAAAGGTCGCTTCAGCGACTTATGCCAGATATGAAATTCGGAATTCTCTAGTTTACTGCTATAGATTCATATAGCCTATGCTTTATTGTGACAAGGCTTTCTTTAGATATCTTTGTCTTTTCTTTGGTTCTCAGATAGTGTTTGGGGGTCTCGAATATGTACACATTTGCTCTCCCCCGAGGTGGCATTCTTGAGTAGGGTTACGTAGGTAAAAATCATTAGCATACAACTGATAGTGTTCTAGCGTTATGTATTTTTGATTAGAATTAAGGAGAAACCTTGTCTGCTAAAATGTGTCTCTGGTAACCAATACTAGCGTCGCCTCACTTCTGCTCCAGGTACTCCTCCACTCGCTCAACGAGATCAGCTTTCTTCCCAGCAGCAGAGCGTCCGTGGGCATTCAGGAAGTCTTTAAGGACAGGTACCGTAAGCTGCACACAAGTCACCCGCGTTAGTTACTCATCCGAATACAGGCCTAAGGGGGCAGGAAATAGTCACCTTCGATAGAGATCCCTTCTGATAATGGGCTCGCACTACATCTTCAACGCCTTGCTCGTCTGTCTCAACCTTCGCTTTCTTGTATGGCTTCTGGGCTGCATCTTCGACTTCAGATGTGCGGTCTTTGGCGCTTCGTTTGACTAGTGTGCTCTTCGGGCCAAGTGCCGATATTTTCGCGTATTGCTTTTCCAATTCGTCGGCCCAAGACAATACATAATGGCCGGTGCGCTAAGAGAAGGTCAGCAAGATTCCCAGAAAGAATAGGGATGTGCGATATACTTTATCGATCTGCCGATATCTTGGCACTGTTTTGTCTTCTGGCTTCTCCGGGAGGTCCTCATCCAACGCCAGGGCTTGCAGAATGCGATAGTGCCATTGGAGGGCTAACAGAGTAATACGTTAATACCACAGTTTCTATACAGGAAGTTGTCAAAAGCTCACATGGATTAGGATACTTGAAGGGGTCGTAAGACGCCTTTGGGAGTTGTAATTGCTGGACAATATACCGCATTCGATCGATTAATGGCTCAGGTGCAACATGGAGTGCGGTTTCGGGGTTCTGACGGACATCATCAGCAAACGGCAGAGGCATTATCCACATTCCCGGAGGGAACTTCTGGACGCCGCTCTCATCTAGTTTCTCTTCTCCAGTAACCATAGCCCCCAGGACTGGGCTTGCGTTTTTACGCGCAATGAACCAAACAAGTGCGGCCTTTTTATCCCGGAGGAGTGTCTGGTGCAAAGCAGAAAAGACTCGTGTGGAGCCAACAAAATCTTCTTCCGATGGGTAAATGAAGGAGGGATGTTTAATGTTGGCCCAGAATGGAAGTGCAGAAAGGGGCTTGAACCCAATTATACGGATGACAGGATCACCGAAGTTCCTCAGTGACTTCATCTCTTCGGGCGTGAAAGCAACCTGATCACCGCCAAACTTATAAGCTTTCTTGATTTCCCACTTTTCAATCGTGCGAGCCGTGTCGTCAGCGATTTGAGTGGTCACTCCTTTCACAATCTGGGGTTGTTCGCCGCCTAGCCAGATGAAGGAGTTTCTGGCAGGTGCCTGACGCTTGAACAAAAGATATCCTGAGACAGATATTTTGAAGTTCGGTCCCAGCTCCAATGGTATATTGGAGAACTGCGCACGCCGTGGGACAGATCTCGAATTGATACTGGACAAAAGGGTATTGAGTAGAGATATCCCATCTCCGGTAGCTGGAGAAGCTTTGGAATCGGTTTGCAGGTATGCTGGGGCATCTGGATCCGAAGGAGAGGCCTTGTAGATGATGTCCTAATTGGGGTAAGCAGCGATACTTCGTTTTGGGTTAATAGAATCTTACGTCATAGAATTTGGCAGTATCGAATTCATGGTCTGGCCGAGAAATCGGAAACAGCTCAATAGTGACACCGAGGTCGTACAAGTCCTTCGCACGTACAGTTGCAGCGGATCGCAAGCTTTTGTTATCGCCATGAGGGTCGTCATTATCGGTGACTATGAACAATCGCCGAGACAAGAAGTTGGGGGCTTTGGACGTGAATATTTGGTTGGCGCAAAAGAGTACATTCGCCATTGAGACCCGCTCGTCTGACGCCTTAAGTACATCCTCTGATTCATTGTCATTCTGTGCCAGTGCTCGAAGATTCTTGACTTCTTGCGCAGAGGGAATGTCTAGATCTGTGAAAAGGTAACAGTGTGGGTATGAAAGGTCTCCTCGGCTATTTTCATCTTCGTCATAGAATTTAGACGCCTGCGTCCCATATAATAGCACACCGATCATGTCACGGGGATTAGAGATAATGCGCTGTTGCATGAGATGATATGCACATTTTAGTGCGGCCGTTGTGGGGGACTCGTCCGCGGATTTCTTTGAATCGGAAGATGGACGAGGTGTGAGCATAGAATCGCTGACTTCGATGGCAAAAAGAACGGCATCTTTCACTGTTTTGTATCCCTATTTTGGTTTATAATTTGTTAGCCTCCGAAGTTTTGAGGTGTTTGGAAGTGCGTACACTCTCGTCGATCTCCTCCTCTTCCTCATCGATCTGGTCGTCTCCGCGAACTTGATCCTCGTCAGCCATTGTGAATGTGTTAAGAGTCGTAAGTCATAAAATGCGTCAAAGAAAAGCAGTCAAGGACGATAGTTAAGTATCCGACGTGAAAGTACCCTTGGACACCAACATTGGCACTTTCTTGGGTGTCTGCCTGTCACTCTGCTGCCTGCGTTCCCGCTCTTTCGTCACTCGTGACGCGACACTTCAACCGCACGACGCGGGGAAGACACGAACATCAGGTGACATACGCCAAGACTTGATGACCCCAAGTTAATTCTGATTGGCCACTCGCTTCAGCTCCAACTCATCCGTCATTTTACCGGTTCTGGACTCTTTGCTTCAAGTCAGCATCCTTTCTGATTACTATTGACCCTTGCCACATGGCCCATTAAAATCCCTATACCTTTCACGCTCCGAACTTATTGCCTTATTATTGCCCTTATCCGCAGGCTTTGGTAATAATTTTTTTTTTTTTTTTTAAAAAAAAAAAAGAATTGTGCTACCGTCTGTCAATTACAATGGCTCTCCGCCGGTCCTTCACGCTTCCTCGGCAACTACTGCGACCGGTAGCTCGCAGCTCGCTTGGATACAACGCAGAACAGCGAAGTGGCTTCGCAACGGCAGTCCCTCCGGTCACTCAAGATGCAACTGGCTCCAAGGGTCCTACCGCAATGGTATTCTTGAACATGGGCGGGCCCTCTACAACAAATGAGGTGGAAGACTTTTTGAGCAGGTTATTTGTATGTTTTCAAACTAGCAGACATTCTCATGGACCAATTTTAACATTTCCCTCGCTTTCTGGTAAAGGCCGATGGTGATCTGATTCCCTTGGGACGACTTCAAACATATCTTGGACCACTTATCGCAAAGAGGAGAACACCAAAGATCCAAAAGCAATACGCGGACATCGGAGGCGGCTCGCCTATCCGAAAATGGTCCGAATACCAATGCCAGGAAATGTGCAAATTACTAGACAAACTCAACCCTGAAAGCGCACCTCATAAACCCTATGTTGCATTTCGGTATGCTGCGCCTTTGACAGAAGAGATGTATAACCAGTTACTCGATGATGGATTCGGAAGAGGGAAAGGAGGACGTGCTGTCGCATTTACGCAATACCCACAATATTCATGTTCGACTACAGGCAGTTCTCTGAATGAACTATGGAAATGGAGAAATCGTCTGGAGGGTAGGCGCGCCAATGAGAGCGTGGACCCCTCCGGCTCCATCCAGTGGAGTGTCATTGATCGGTGGCCGACCCATCCCGGCTTAGTGGAAGCTTTCGCAAAGAACATCGAGGATCAGCTCAAGACATATCCAGAGGACAAGAGGAACAGTGTGGTCTTGCTGTTCTCCGCCCACAGTCTGCCTATGAGCGTGGTGAATAGAGGTAAGCTTCGAGTCATCGCGCCAATTGCTCGACGTAAAATCTAACTCCAGATTAGGTGACCCGTACCCGGCTGAAGTTGCAGCGACTGTCCATGCGGTAATGCAAAGGCTTGGTTTTAGCAACCCTTACCGGCTGTGCTGGCAATCTCAAGTGGGCCCGTCGGCTTGGCTTGGGGCTCAGACCAGTGACACTGTCATGGAGTATGTAAAGCGCGGGCAGACTGATATTGTCCTTGTGCCGATCGCCTTCACCAGCGACCACATTGAGACTCTGTATGAGTTGGACCTTGAAGTGATGGAAGAAGCCAATTCCCCTGGAGTTAAGCGAGCGGAAAGCTTAAACGGAAGCCCCATTTTCATCGAAGCCCTTGCGAATATCGCGCAGGAGCACTTGAGAAAGGGAGAAAAGTGCTCTCGTCAGATGACCCTGCGCTGCCAGGGTTGTAAAAGTGACAGATGCCTAGAGCAGAAGAAGTTTTTTGCCGGGGAAGAAGCCGCGTCTCTTGTAGTGTAAAAACTTCTCTTCTCTTCTGTTCTTTTTCTTTTTTCCTTTGGGGGTCATATTACTTTTATTTTGTTAATATTATGTACTGTAGGATTCTTGGAAAAGGATAATTATTATTCTAGTGAACATTAGGCCTATATTGTATGCGTAGGGTGATTAACAATCAACCATAGTATAACTAACTCGTTGGAATTTCTTGATTTTCGAGACAGACTATAAATGGGGCACCGAAATCTTGGTTCAATG